GATGGCACCTTGCGATTTTTTGCATGTTTGGATTGTGAGTGCGCGGGTGAAAGGCTGCAAGACTCAATCAAGGCTCCAGAATCCAGACTGCTGACTGCAAACTCCACACTCCAGACTGCAGACTCCAGACTGCAGACTCCAAACTGCAGACTCCAGACTGCAAACTCCAGACTCCAGACTGCAAACTCCAGACTGCAGACTCCAGACTGCAGACTCCAGACTGCAGAGTCCAGACTGCCAACTCCAGAATCCAGACTGCAGACTCGAGATTCCAGATTCCAGACACAATGACACCTGGCTCCAGGATCCTGATCATTTTGTGGTGGAATTCGGCCACGGGGCCAAGTTAAGTTATGTTAAGTCGTGGTGACGCAACTGGGCCTCACGGGGAAAGTTTGGCAGTTAAGTTGATTGAGTTACAATAGGGACTCCACGGCTCCACACGACCCGCCCAGGTTAAGTTAAGTTAAGTTTTGTTAAGTTCGAAAAAACTGCACCGGCCTTTCCGGGCTTTGGGGCGGGGCTGTCTGGATGCTGGATTCTGGGGTCTGGACTGTGAATTGTGGAGTTAGGAGTCTGGATTCTGGAGTCAGGAGTCTGCAGTCTGGAGTCTGCAGTCTGGAGTCTGCAGTCTGGAGTCTGCAGCCTGGAGTCTGCAGTGGAGTCTGCAGTCTGGAGTCTGGAGTCTGGAGTCTGCAGTCTGTCTGTGGAGTTTGCATTCTGGAGCCTGGAGTCTGCAGTCTTGATTCTGGAGTTGGCAGTCTGGAGTCTGGAGTCTGCATCGGGAGTCTGGAGTTCTGCAGTCTGGAGTCTGCAGTCTGCAGTCTGGAGTCTGCAGTCTGGAGTCTGCAGTTTGGAGTCTGGAGTTTGCACTCTGGAGCCTGGAGTTTGCAGTCTGGAGTCTGCAGTCTGGAGTCTGGAGTTTGCAGTCTGAAGTCTGCAGTCTGGAGTCTGCAGTCTGGAGTTTGGAGTTCGCAGTCCGGAGTCTGCAGTTTGGAGTCTGCAGTCTGGAGTCTGCAGTCTGGAGTCTGCAGCCTGGAGTCTGCAGTCTGGAGTCTGCAGTCTGGAGTCTGGAGTTTGCAGTCTGGAGTCTGCAGTTTGGAGTCTGCAGTCTGGAGTCTGCAGTCTGGAGTCTGCAGTCTGGAGTGTGGAGTTTGCAGTCAGCAGTCTGGATTCTGGAGCCTTGATTGAGTCTTGCAGCCTTTCATCCGCGCACTCACAATCCAAACATGCAAAAAATCGCAAGGTGCCATCAGACCACCGCTTCAAGTGCCATCTCGAAATAAAAATCACGCCGAACAATTCCTGGGCGGACCAGCCGCCAGCGGACAACCGCTTCAAGTGCCATCTCGAAATGAAAATGAACGTGGCAAAAAAAGCTTGGCGGACCGGCCGCCAGCGGAACCACCGCTACAATGATATATCATCAAACGAGAAAAGCAAAATGGGCGGACCGGCCGCCGGCGGAGAAACCACCCCATGCGACTATATGAAGGCGGACCGGCCGCCAGCGGAGACACCGCTATAGAAACGATTATCGCACAACAAAATTAAACCGAGTCAATCAGTGCAAAAAATGCTCCGGCTCCATCGAGCCAAGCGTGCGAAGCAGCGCGAACAAACAGCGTAAACTGCATGCGCGCGCGCGCCTGCCCTGCTGCGTTGAGTCACACGAAAATGTGTGATTTCCAGCGCGTAATGCTTCATCACTGCCATGCTTCAAAACGCATGTGTTTGCAAACTCAATGAACTTAGAATGAACTTAGCGGACTTAGAAAAACCTCTTTTCTAAGTTCAAGATAAGTTACTTATAAGTCCAAGCTAAGTGCTAAGTCACTTATAACTCCAGCGTAAGTACGACCCTATCCCAGTACAGCGCTGGAACGTATTGCTACAACACGCACAAATGTGGCTTCTCCTCGCGCCCCGCAAGGGGAAGCGAAGAGACAGAAGACTTTCAACCCAATGGAGAACGTTGAGCTGAATGTCGCCACGTGCCCGGTTTGCAACAACAGTGTCTTCGAGGGGCAGGTGCACTGCTCATCATGTGGGCAGTTGTCTCCCCTCAATCCACGCCTGTTGAAAGAGCAACAGAAAAATTACATTGTGCAGCGTTCCAATCTGTTGAAGAAGATGGGCCTCAGCACCCACGTCACAGCTCAGGTCCTGGCATCTGTGGGAACATTTGACCTCCGCGAGGAGGATCGAAGCAGCATCATTCGTGGCTTGAACTCCCCGGACAGTGCTGTTATTCAGGAGGCACGGAAGAAGCTCAAGTCCGCCCTGAAGAACGGCTACCACTCTCTGCTTGATCGCTATGAACTCGACCTTCAATACAGGGTTCGTATGCTTGAGGTGGGCCGTCGGGAGGCGGACATGCTCCGCATGGAGTTGAGCGCAAATCTCGTCTTGGCTGCTCCAAAGCAGTCGCAGGCCCAGCGCACTCTGGGAGTTGGCCTTGGATCAACTTCGGAGTCGCGAATCGCAAGGCTCGCGTATATCAAGACAGAGTTGGAGTTCCTGCCCAACGAACTTCAAGATGCGCTTTCCTCTCGCTGGATCATTATGTTCCAAGGGATGCCTTATAGCCCAAGAGCTTTCATCAACGTGGTCTTTGAGCAAGACAAGCCTCGCAGTATCGGTTGTTGGAATGGCATCATCCATCTGCGAGGCAACACGTTGGACGACCTCCGCAACGAGATGGACTGGATTTTCAGCCAGAATGAGCGGTATGCACGTAACTCGATTGAATATTCGAGGAACGAAAGCAGCAAGCACCTTGCTCGCAATGCAGCCCGCTATGCCGAGCCGAGCGCTCCCGCCGCCCGCGAGGGTGTGCATTGGAGCCGTGGCAGCTGGCAGAACTGGTCCGAATGGAGCGGATGGGGTGACAGTAGCGGAAGCTATTCGACTTGGCAGTGGCGCTAAAAGCGCAACTGTCATGGTTTGCATGAAACAATGGTTCCCCTGACCTTCTCCCTCTGTTGTGTTACTGTTTGGCTGCTTTGTGAAAGGCCCCTTTAACACGCAGAGGGGGGTGAAGAATTTGATCGTTCAATATGGGGTTTTACATCCATTGCATCCGCAGTGTGGCTGTTCAAGCGTGAAAATGTGCGAGCAGCACTTGGACGGTTTGTTGTTTCCTTTTGGGCCCCAAACCGGTAACCCTTGAATCTATAGAATGTGGAGGACTCAACTTCAAACCACACGCAGCGGACTCGCTCTACCCATGTTCATACGAGGCTGTATCAGATTTGGACCGCGGCACATAGCATATGAAGCCCTGCTACCTGGTATGACCCCGTTGCTTATAGGTTCACTAGCCACTCTTTCCGCTTGCTATTGACCCACTAATTGTTTGTGACAGTAAAGTCACCCAAAGGCTTGAAACTGGAGAATGCTTGTTCTTTTGGCCAGCAAGCAATTTAACTTTCGCAGGGGCCGAAACCAAATCTAGAAAAGGGTCGGGATGTGTACAAGATATGGATGTTTGGGTGTGCGGAAGGAACGACGGGCACCAAAAAGCAACAAGACATGTAAAAAGGACACGCTTCAAAGGCTGCTGCCTGTGGGTTACCCTTTTGGTTGTATCAAGAAACCAAAGGGCAGCCATCGATTTGGGGGTTGCCCTATTCGGAGACAACATGAGTGCCAGGACGATCGGAGCGTCTTGGACCTGGTCAAAGGTGCTGCCGTCAGTATCTACACGACTCGCGGGCTGGAAGGCTTCTTCGTGGGCGGTGCCGAGCGTGCCCTGTACTACGCCCCTGTGGCTTGCTTATTCTTCACGATCTATGATACCCTTCTCAGCGTGCTTTGAGCACGGGTCAATCACAGCGCAAACTGCGCTGAAAAAAAAAGAAACGGATGCGAGATGTGAAGAGCTTGGAGCTCTTCCAATCCCAGTCCGTTTCGCCCCGATTCCCCGAGTCTTGCGCGGGCGAGGGTGCCGCTGGCCCGCACGCCAGAAACGCGCCGAACGCCAGATTCGGCCGGCGCTTTGGAAACCCGTGAGGCGGCCACCGGCCGCAAAAGGGGGACTCCCCAACTTCACCGGCGCGCGCACGCGCTGCGCCACAAAAGGGGATAGTTCAAACTTGGCATGCCGGTCACAAGTTGGTTTGCTTTGTTGTGTTCAATCTAGAATGCCACAGGTTGCTGGTTCGCTTTGTTGCGCTTCATCTAGAATGCTAGACGTGACCGGTTCGCTTTTCCTTTTCCTTCCAGAAATGGGGCCTTGCAACTTTGCGCTTGCAAAGCAATCCGAGATTGGGGCCACTCGACGGTATAGCAGGAAAAGTGCGTGCTGCGTCATATACCTGGTGGCTTTGGAGCTGGTTCCAGTTTAGTGGGGACCCAGGATTGACAAGCCCAAAATAGGACGTTGTTCACTCAAAAGGGTAACACCTTTGATTTACTTGGAACCCGGGATTCAGAGAGACCTGGTTGAGCAGTTTAGGGGGTGCAGCTCATTTTAGTGCTTGGATGATTTTGTTTATGGTCAACACTAGTTTCTTCCTTGTTTAGGCATTGTGTCATCAGGCATGCAGGTCAATCAGTTAGTGCAAACACTGAAGGATGTGTAATTAGCACGCATGTCTCAAACATCAGATGTTTCCCACATGCAGGCTGTGCAGGAACCGTCTTTGGCCCTGAAAGGGGCAACAGCAGCCAACATCCTCGTAGAGAAGCCAGCTTCAGCCAACAAACAGTGTGTCAGTCATCTCGATTCGCGCTGCTTGCACATTTCGCACTTCTATTAGGCCTGCTTTTCTTTCTCCCTTCAAATTCCAAGTTGCAAAGGAGAGTGTGTTTGTTCGGGTACCCATTCAGAGATTGGCTCCCGGGAAACCGAATGGACAACCAAGTTTGACAAGGCATCCTTCCAGCTTCAGGGTCCACCTCCTCTTTCACGCCCCACATGTTTGGACACGCGCGAACTGTTTGGACGTCCATTTCCTCTGGGACCAGCCGGAACTTGCCGTCAAAATTTCTGCCAGGCAAGCCGAAGGCGGCCTGTCTCCGCCTAGGGCCAAGCAATTCACATGCGGTTGACATCTTGTTCCACGTGTGGGTCCCTTTTTGGGTTCTCCATTTGTAGCCTATTTGTAGTCCGGGGTTCATCTTAATCTTTGATCTTTACTACCAGATGGCTTAGAATTTAGAAGACTAAGATGTTTGAAGCTTAAGGTTGAATGTTGATCAAGGATTGAGGTGGTTGTCGTTTTGTTCGCTGGGCCTGCAAGTAAGCAGTGGAGGGGTGGAGTTGATTGAACAAATAGAGACGGTTAATGATCTTGACTAAGGTTGAACATTGGATGTTTGCTCTGAGATGCGCTATTCCGATCCTGATCCAGGAAAGTGGGTATGACGAGATTCCCTGCCCCACCTTTCTGGACCCAGCTGCCGAGGCATTGGTCACAGCGTCCTTGAGAGCAGGAAGAAGGAGACGTCTTCATCCGATCAGGCACTTCCACACTTTGGATCCGCTCTGGAAACCGTAGTGATGAACCTTGGCGTTCGAAAGTATATTGACAAGCCAAGATGCTCGAGGCCCATGAAGTACATGAAGCGCAAACAGTTCGGAATTCTTTAGGCTCGAGATTGATCAGGGTTGCCGAAGCCATCCCAAGCCTTTGCATCGAAAGATGGCCAAACAATGGGTACAAAGTTGTGCGATGTTTCCTCGGACCAAATGCGAGGTGAATGCAGTGGGTGCCAGGTCCTCGAGCGCCGTGGTTGGGGCTTGCGGAGTGGGCTGGGCGGAGGGGACAGCAGGCTGGACAGGTTTTTGCCCCAGGCTGACTCAGCTTGGCTGCGCAACCGGAAACGGTGGAAGTGACTCAGACACACTTCAGGTTGAAGGACACCAATTCCCTCACAGACAAGCCAAGAGATGCTGCGAGTCTTACGAGTGTGAGATTTTTCCTGTTGTATGTCATGGTTGCCAGGTACTTGGGTTTTTGTTCCGATATCTTGGGGTAAACCCAGAGGTGCATCAATCCGCGTGAGGCTCTCAACATTTGCTTTCCACCTGTGCAATGGGTTGTGTCGTGTATTACACCGCAAGCAATCGTGCCAGGTCCCCACAACATAGGTGGTTGCCTTCTGCCAACAAGACACAATCATCAACCAATCAGTCAGAAGCATTCCGATTGAGCAATACTGGCCTCGCATTGAGCAGGTGTTGTCACGCTTGGCGTCGGGGGTTTTGGCCACAATCCCACCAAGGGACATGACTTGCCCAAACAGAGACGCCCTGGGTCGGGCCTCTGAATGCTTCCACCGAGCTTTCTCCCATGAGCTGCACCTAGTAGCTATGATTCCGCCATCCTGCCTACTCACGCTGACAGCGAAAGTGTCTTGTGTTTATTGCTTTTGTGAGTGACTTCTGTTTGGCTGGCTTTGTAGGGAGACCAACAGGGAGGGAAGCAACCATTTGCGTTCCTCCAAAGAAATGGAGACAAGCACGACTTTTGACTAAGGCATTAGCTGCATATATCGATGTCAACGATGACATCGTGACGGCGGTCAACCCTGAGGACGGCGAGAAGATGCATTGGCGCCTCCAAATCTTGAAAATTTGGTGGGCTGCCTTAAGGACCTTTGGTGACACCCTGGAAAGGGACATGTCAAGGGAACTGTTTAGTGAATCTACTGCCCCGAACCCCTTTGCGACCCCGTGAAAAAACAGTTCAGAAAAAGGTCTCGAACTAGTAACCTCTCGTTTTGAACAAGGTCTCGTTTTGATGGTTCACTGAACAAAGACCAGGGGACCCCCGTCCCCCAAACAGGGATGTCGGGTCAATTGCCAGATCCCCAGTCCAATGCTCTCACCCGCTGTGCCCTGTGCCAGAAGAAGCTGAAGACGGCGGATGGGCGCGGGGCCTGTCAGCCCTATCTTGCTGAACCCCTCTTCAGGGCTTCCTTTGTGTTCCTTGGTTGTGTGATTTTAGCTGAATGTCATGGTTCGGGCGAAGTTTTAAAGGGAGCTTCCTTTGGGCGGGTCATGATTGAAGGGGAAATGATACATGGACCCTGGTCTTCCCAAAAAACGCCTTCTGCCCCGAGTCCAAGCCACATGGGATGGGGACATATTCTGACATTCTCCGAGCCCAGGAGATGTATGCCCTCGGCGAAACCACCTTCCAGGACTGATGCCTTCTCGGGACTCACTGGCTGCCTCGCGTTCAAACGAGCGAGAGCGGAAGGCCAAAAGCCAGAGGTGCCACAAGTCCTAACCCCAACTGGCGGGTTGCGTTTCGAATGTGTGGAGCCACGAATCCGCCCACAGGATTCGCATCGCTCACATCCTGGTGAAGTGCTCCTTGGCTGGAAGCGGCTTGACTGGCTCAGGAAAGCGCCTCAGCCATGCGAGAACTTCCCCAAAATCCTCTTGGTGTGTCAAATTAGTTGTCGCCATCCCTTTAAGCCAAGGCAATTAGAGTACCCATTCAAAACCCAGCGGTAGGTTTTGAGCCCGTGCTTGGATTCCTCACTTCTGGCCCTGAAGGGGCGTCAGGCGGTGTGTCATTGCCCTGGGACCGGTTTTGCGGATGGCGACGAGAACATGGGAGCGCGCTGCATGTGGAATCGGCCACTGAAGAGCGCAAAGGAGGTGATTCGCAGGGAGAGGAGTTCAACATGCGAGTCTAGACATATGTTTTGTTCGTCACTCGCGATCACCAGAAGGTGCGGGTGCTGCTGTTAGTTGATCATATCACAGGAAGTCAACGTTTGTGAAGTCCAATTGTGTTCGAGTGGAGCTGTCACATTGCCTTGATGCTTCCTTACACCAAGTGCCCCTTTTGGCCCTACAAGCACGGAAGCTGACACGTACTTCTTCTTCTTCCAGCTTGCTCCAAAGCAAAGCTCTCACTTCCTTCAGGCTCGGTCAAGACGAACGCAATGATAGATCCCTTGTAGACGACTTAATTGAATCCAGGTATTGTAAGTGTTGAGAGTATCCTTTGCGGTACAATCCACTGAGATTCTTCCTGTGTTTCTGGGTCTGCCATCACTTTATTCGCTTTCAAATTGAAAAAATAGCAGCAAGCCCGTATCTCTTTCTGGGACGTATCTCTGGATACGGGGCACACACACACACAGGATACGAACACGGGGCACGGGAGACGGGACGGACACGGGCGACGGGAAACGGGACCATGGGAGACGGCAAACCTGTAAGAAGCATTGGCTGGTCGGGACGCCGAGTTGTAGTGAAGGTTTAGGGTCTTCACTCTAAACGGCACAGGACATGGCACGGGCGAAGGATAATTACGGGATACGGGACACGGGACGTGGGAGACGGATTCAGAAATTCTATAATATGTACAATATATGACTTCCAGACTGGCATGGGCTTGGCAGGGCGCCCTTTGAGATGAGTTTAGTAAACACAATTGATTTCCACTGGTTTCAGCTGGGTTCGGCTAGTCCGGACATGCCCTTTTTTGAGCAGTGTCTTGTGTATTTGTCCAAAAAGGGCACGGCCGGGTGCCTTTTTCTGTAGTCACAATGCATGTCAGTTGCGTGCTCGCCACCAGAGACGTCCATTGAGGTCAGCCAGCGAGCGGCCCCGCGCCCTCAGATCCGCAGGCGACAGTGGGCATCGAGTGTTTAAGGCCTCAAGTGGCTCCATGTCTTTTTTGAGGAGATTGAATAATATGAATAATGTTAACTTCGGAGTCCGGAGGATGCTGGAAGGAATCCCTAAAAAAGAGGATCCATTCTCCTGGCACTCCGGATGAATCTGAAGTTGACATTGTTTGGTGTGGGAACGGGCAGAGTGAAGGGCTCTGCTGGGCTGGCAGGCGTTGCTTGGTTATAAGTTGTCCTTGCTTCATTGCCAGCATTAGGATCTAACATCACGGTGCGAATTCTCATCAAGGATCAAGCCACTAGCCACACGTGAGCAGACAAGCCACACATGACCTGCGGTCATGGCTGTTGAGTTGGAAACTGGACTCCCACGCGCCGGTTGCTGCACCAAAGCTCCTTTTCCATGCGTCAATCTGCTTGTTGTTCTCCAACACCCTAGTGTGAGAGGCAAGGCCACCTTTGTTCCGTTTGGTTGGTGCTTTCCCTTGAAACCAAATTGAAAGGGTACCCTCAAAAAACACGCACACATTTCCCTTGGTTTCACCTCGGCACCACACAGGCACGAAGACCTGCGCCTGCGGACCGGACACAGGCGGGGCCAAAGTAGTGGAAAGAAACAATGCGTGCATCCCAACCCGTTTAGCTTGGTGTTAAGGGCAAGCCAAAAGGAGATCATCATTTTGTGCATTCCGGACTTTTAAGACGAACCACAGCGTAACCCACAGGTCCCTTTGCAGGTTGCTTTAAACCAAGGCTGATTGAGTTTCCCTTTGGTGATTGTTCAAGCGAGCATATATGCCTTTTTTTGGGGAACTCTCTCCAAACTGGTTTGGTGGGCATAAGTCCAACCATCAAAGTCCAATTGAAGTTCACGCCATGTAGACTAGGCAGGTCTTTTGTGCTGGGCTTAAAGGGCAAAAAGCCAAAGGGCCGTGAGGCTCGGTCCTAAAGGCCCGGCCCCAAGCAAAGTGGCTTTCCGGAGGCGGACGCCGAGGCCCAGCTTCTGAAGCTCATGGAGGCGGATCGAGGTTTCCGGTTTCGATTCGGTGCGGTCTCGTCTTTGAGATCCTTTTCGTTGGGCCTCAACGGCAAGCCAAAGAACAAAAGCGCAAATATGGAAGGGGGGGGTTCCCCTGTTTTTAGGTACACACAAGCATTCTTTCAGGGCTCCCTCAAAACTGCCGGGTTTTCCTTAAATTCAATTGTGCGGATCGTACCGTGCGAGGCACGCCCGTGCGACTCTGACGATTTGGGTGGCGTTGAAAGTTGGTGCTCTTCTTGGGGTTGTGGGGGCCGGGCACGATGTTTTTGGCATGTGTGTGTGTTGCCCTGTTTGCTTGCGGTGTTTGCAGTAATAGTGGGTCAGGAGTTGGCAGAGCTTGTAGCATTTTGTTTATTTCCGTGGTTTGGTGCGGCGATTTCGAGTCAGGAGTACTATTTGTTGCGGATTTGTAGTCTGTGCGTTTGTAATTTGATTCGTGGGGAAGCCTCTGCTTACAGTTTGGGTATGTTGCTGTTGCTCCCACTTTCCGGGGAGTCTTTTCTGCTTGGTCTTTGCGGGCAGAAGCAAGGACACGGGCGCCATCCCAAATGCGGATGTGGATATGTTGGCCAACCTCTACACCACGATACCGACGATACCTTCGAAAGTTAAAGGTAGGGAGAATTCCGGTGGTCCGGCCAATGGACTTCAGCGATGTTGGCGTGTGTTTAGAGCCAACCCGCAGGTGCTGCTAGACGTGCACCGAAAGGGCCCAGGCACGGAATGCCACTTGCAATGCCAGAGTTCACAAGCAAACACGCGTTCCGGTGCCCATTCTTCGAGGATGCAGGTTTTGTAAATGGCTTGTTGAGACTTGTCGCTTGGATTTTCACGGCTTGGAACTCACCCGTGCGACTTTCGGAAAGCCAGTTTGCAGTGATGCGAACAATTGCACGTTTGGGATGCAGAACGGATCTCGGTTTGCTGGTGGCAGCAGTCACGGTTGGTTGGGTGGACGGGCATATGGCACGACATTGAACCTGCCCTTCATTTGTTTGGGCTTGTTCTTGTTGGGGGATTCCCCCCCCAACAACAAACAAACGGGTTTTCTTTTGGGTTCCTCTTCAACAACAACTGAAAAGGGGATGCCTCAAGCACAGACACACCTGTATTATTCCCCTGGAAGCCTGGCCAGAAGCCGGCGCGCAAAAGCGGCTCAGCGCGAAGTTTGCGGAGCTTGCGAGGGCGCAGCTGGCTCACTTTTACGCTTCAGGAGGCTCCCAATCACTGTGGCGAAATCACCGGCGTACATGGGCTTTGCGGCTCGTCTCGCTGGTGCAGGGTTGACTGGGCCTTGTGTTGGAGGGGATGGCTCATGGACTAATGGGTAAAGGCCATGGTTTCAGCGTGGCCGGAGATGTGGGCCAGGAGCACTCGGACTGCAAGTCGGCAACTTCGGGATCATTGTCGGATTTAGGCCTGCAGCATCAGCATGGCTGCATGGCTTGTTTGCAGGATGTTGTTTGTTTTGTCAATTGGCAGCGTTTCTTGTCCCTCGGTGCATTTGTTTACACTGCAGGCTGGATCAGTCAAGGTCAGAGTCAGCAAGGGAAGGCACCTCGGCAGCGATCGTACTCAACACAGAGAACCTCTTTGTCGCTTTATGGCAGATTTCAGCAATTCCGCTCATCATGACTTGACAGTGGCTCGCGCCTCTGTGAGTGTTGGTGGTGACGGTGGTGGTTAGAGGGGAGGGGGATGGGCGTGATAGATTGAAGAATTAAAACATCCTCAAAATGGTTGAGTGGGCTTGAAGCCTCCAATTGAAATGAATTCATGCTGAGCAACAGCTAGTTTCTGCCTGCCCACCCGAGGAGTTCGATGCGGCAGCATTCGAGATACCTGCTGGAGACTTGTGATTTGCGCAACTTGAGATGCAGCGCAGGCGTTCGGCGTCCTGAAGCTGAAGATGTACTAAAGTTTTTGTCATGGGGTTTCTTAGAGGAAGACAGTGACGGCAGCTGCACTTGCTGGAGCATATGTTGCACCGCTGATTGCATGCATCAACAACTGCGTTATTCTCAAAGCCATTCTGCCCATCGGCATGGTTTAAAGACAAGCTGTCTTCTTGAGGCCTGCCTTCTAGTTCCGTTGGTGTGATGCTGTTGTTTCATCTCCCAAGTCTTTGAACTGACCGTCTTCAACTGATGCCACGTCTGCACCTTGCTGAGTACCCTCCTTTGGGGAGAGCAGGGTCCAGGCTGAGATTTTGCCACGTGGCAAGCCTTTGGATCGCTACATGTGGCAGGCGGACTGCTGAGGCTGAGGTTGTTTTGGGTATTTGCGCGGGATTCTGGAGGAAACCTGAGTTTCTCAACTGTGCCCAATTGGTGCGCCCAAGGTTGGTGGCCTCAGCGACATCATCGTCACCCAGCGAGGTGTAGCGGGCCTTGGCAATGCGGATTTGCGGCTGCTCATTCCACTTGTGATTTGGCCTGCGGAACAACCTAGCGTGAACTGGGGAACGAGTGATGACAAAGTTTCCAAAGTGGACAACACACACACACACACACACATGAAATCGACAAATGGAAGACACTCAATTGTGCCTGCTTTTCCAAGGTTCACATTCTGCACCGCCTTGCATGACCGTCTTCGAGACGCCTGGTATCTCAGCTTGGCATCTAAGCCACCGGCCTTGGCTGCGACCGGCCCAGGTCGCGAAGTGTGTGACATGTCGTGTCATCCAGGTGCTGAGTGGCGCGAGTAACCATATTGTGTGTGTGTGTTTTTTTTTGTACCAAAGATTTGAAGAGGATGGAAGTGGGACCCCCGCGAATCATACACCTAAGCTGCCACCATCCGAATCATACCCCGAATCATACCCCGAATCATACCCTGAGACCAAACCTGTAGTAGTAGCAGTAGTAGTAGTAGTAGCAGTAGTAGTAGTAGTAGCAGCACCCGGGTATGATTCGAGGAATGATTCGGGGGTATGTTTCGGGGCTTGCTTCGGGGCTCAAAATATGTACCCCAAATGGAACACTGGGTTCAGTGGAAAAAAACAACGACAAAAACCTGGTCCATATCCTGGTGGTTTAATTTTGACCCATACCCATATGAGTCACAATCAAAACCCGGTATTAAACTGGTGCACACAGAGAAATAGTAGGACGTTGCAAAGCCAGACGCGGGCAAGTACCAAGATGGGTTGGTTTGTTCTTGCGCACCATACATCGAATCCTGCCCCCGAAACATACCCTGAACAACACCCCGATACCCCCGCCAACAAGTTCCAGGGCCGAGAACGTTATTTTAAGACAGATGGGAAGGCCTTTTCCACCACATAGAGAGGAAGTACCAATCGTGAAACATTTTGGAAGACGAATAGTCACGCTTTCAGACTGAAGCTCTTCATGAAGAATCATGAGTTTCATTGTGAGTGGCATGTTTCCTGCACCAGGGTCCTCCTAGCGAAAACGCGCTGGGGTCACCATTCTCTGCTTGATGCACTAGACCAGGTGTAGCGTTTCACATTCACTGTGTAGGGGCAGCATCCAGATGAACACGACCAGCCTCGGTTGGATTGCAACGCTCCATGGTTAGAGGTTTCGGGGCTTGCAGTTTTAAGGATACTTTGCAGTGGGCCTTGGTGTGGTGAAAAGTAGCTGTGATGAAACAGCACGGCAGTGTTCGAGTAACACCGGTGTTTCCCATCATGTTTGACATGTTCTGTTTGAGAAGGTATTTGCAATTCTGTGGGCAGGATCATTCCAGATGATGTAAAGTCAATGTCCATCCTCGACCACGAACTCTATTAGGAAGTGTGGCGTCAGCTTTCACACCAGAATAGATCAACACGGAACCGCAGGCTTGCCATAAGGCCTAAACTATGCAACAAAACGAATAGCAGGAGAAATCTGGAGTTTGCTACTTGAGAAGATTGAGAAAGTTGAAGCCAAGCATGTGGCGAACTGAGGCATGTGGAGCCACCCAAAGGGCACGGACCGGAAGCGCGTCGGTGTGCCACACCTGCCTGGCTGTCGCTTCGCTTTGGGCCCATTGACTGTTCGGGGAAAGTCAGAAACTGGGGGTCGGGGGTTGTTTCCCTACTCATCACTTTGGGGGGTGATGCCAAAAACCTACATGTGGTTTGTTGCTTCAAAGCCCGGAACCTCCCTCAAGCACCTTGACGTCACAAGGGCGTGGTCAATTTCATCTGATGAGACGTCGAGCTTGGGAAAGCGTTTAACAATCATTACATCAATTCATTTACTATGCCGGGTTCGATTTGACTACAATATATTATCGTATATATAGTTTTTACAACAATTTGTTGATTTATAAAAACAAATACACACATATTTAGAATTGATAATATGTATAATAATTATAAATTAATTAAATTATTTATTGTTTTAATAAATATAATTTCTGAACAATATATTTATTTTGAATTCGAACATTAAATTGGAAAGCATATATAGTTAAGAAATAAAAATATAATTAAATATACATATATTATATATAATAGATATATGATGTATATGAAAATGAATGTGTATATATATATATATTGGTTTAATATATATATATATATGTATTGGTGTTAGATTTGTTTTTAAAATATATTATTGATAAAATGAATATTGAATGATTAAAAATGAGGTCTCTCGAAAATAAAGATGTATTCTTATTAGGTAAAAAATATGTTTTTATTTAAAGGTAATGTTGGATTGGGAATTTTTGTATTTGGGAAAGTTGGGCGAAATTTTTGGTTGGGTTTTTTAATTGGTTTTTGGGGTTTATGATAATTGAATAATTGAATGATTTTAAATATAATAAAAAAAAAAAAAAAACAATAATGAAATATATAATATATTAATTGGTATATGTATTTGATTATTTGTATTGGGGTTTAATATAAATGAAAGAATTATAGTACTTATATTTGTTTTGGGTAAAATACAATAGTTTTAAGTGAAGATTTTAGTTTTTATATATTGAATTAATTTGTTGGTGTGTTTTAGCGTTGTTTTTGTTGGTTGGATGATATGGATATTTTTTTTGTGGTTAGGCATTAGTTATATATAAAATTCTTAGGCAAATTAATTTAGAAACCGATAATAATTTTGTTTTGGTATAAAATTAAATACGAATATTCTTTAATTATATTTTATGATTTATTTTTTTTAGAAAACAATTATAATATATTGGATTTTGATATTTCGTTGTTTAAAATTTATATATTTGTATATTTTTATATAATTATTAAATATTATGTAATTTTATATTAGATTTTTCGGTGTTTGATTAATTGATTTCTAATTTTATTTACCTTATTGATGGAATTAAAAAAATAGATTTTATATAATTCTTATTTATAGATTTTATATATAGGTTTTTAATTATTTTTTTGCTTCTTATTTATATTGTTAATGGTTTTTAGAAACATAAGAATATATAAAGATAACCATAAATAAAACAAATATAAATAAATAAAAATAAACAAAAAAAAGGAATAACAAACAGATAAAGATATACGAAGATGGGCTAATTAAATTACTAATCAAATAATTAAAATATATAAATAAGAAAGAAATATAGAAATATATAAATAAACACACATAATTAAATACTTGTAAATTAACATATAAAAAAACAAATAAACACATAAACAGAAACAAACAAACAAAAATAATTATAATTAAATAAACAAACAAAAATAAACAAGATAGATAAAAACCACATAAACAGACAAACAGAAACACATAAACAAAAACAAACAAATAGACAAATAGACAAACAAATAGACAGAAACAAATTGGCAAAGCCAGACAAAAACAAACAGATAACAAAAAGAAGACAGACAAAGAGATAGAAAGAAAGAAAAAGAGAGATATAGAGACGTACAAAACATAGAGAGGCAGAGAGATATAGAGATAGAAGAATAGAAAACCAGAAAGATAGAGAAATAAAGAAACAGAGAGACAAATAAATAGAGATACAAAATATTAAAGAGACGAAATAACGATGAAAAAAAGAGAGAAAAATTAAAAATCACACAAAGAAAAATAAGAAAGAGAAAACGAAAGAAAAAAAAAAAAAAAAAAGAGGGAAAAAGGAAAAGAAAAAACGTAAACAAAGAGGAATCGAAGAATAGAAAAAAATGGGAAAATAAAGAGAATATTTAGAAATCCAAAAGCCGAATAAAATCCAATATTAGGAAAACAAATGCCAAATTATATTATAAAAAATTTAAATAAAAAACAAAAAACAATATAAAATTTAAAAGATATTTTAAAACCATAATAATCTTTGTAAATATTTAATTTAATATTTCCCATATATATATATATCTCATTATTACATAGAAATATATATATATAGCACAAAAATATAATCTAAAAACTCATATATACAAAATCAAATATTAATTTTAATAAATATCAAATAATTAAATCATCAACAAAACAAATCACTTATATCTAGTTAAAAAACCGAATAACTCTATATATGCAGTTTTTCAATGAATAGTTCTCTAGTGGCCATGCGAAAATGACTGAGTGAGTGAGTGAATTAGTAAGTAAGCGAACGTACGAGCGAGCGAATGAGTGAGTGAAATAACGAATAATTAAATGAATAAATATACAACTATATATATATATTTCAATCAATATATATATATATATTTTTATTTATCATAAAATCTATATATCCTCGCCAAAATGCCATGCTTATCCCATCCACGCGCTCGATAATATCCAATCCCTCTATATAACAATCAAATACTACGCCTGCTATACATACTCACACTCAATTCCCCAGAATATTATGCCTACCACAATCCCGTCCCGAGTCATACATTCAACAATATCCAATTCCTCTAAACAACCATCAAATATTATAACTATCACACAAACCCACATCCAAAATTCTACCTAACACAAAATCTATATACTCTCCAAAACATCGTGCCTATTATGCTTTCATACGCCCCAAATCGCACGCTCGACCAATCCCTCTAAACAATCAAAAATACCACAAAATCTACATACCATCTCCAAAATACACTATACCTAATTCACCCCCCCATATATACCAAATACTACGCCTACCACGAAATTTACGCATCATCTCCAAAATACAATACTTAACACATTTTCATACTTCCCAAACCACGCATTCAACAACATCCAATCCCTCTATATAACCATCAAATACTACGCCTGCCACACATACTCACACTCAAATCCCCTAAAATATTATAACTACCACGAAATGTATATGTTTTCTCCAAAATACAATATCTATCCCTCCCTGAGTTATATATTCCACAATATCCAATTCCTCTAAACAACCATCAAATATAACAATTGCCATACAAACCCATATCCAAATACTCAAATTATTCTGCCTACCACGAAATCTATATATCATCTCCAAAATATCATATCTATTATGTTTTCGTACGCACGCGCTCGACCAATTCCTCTAAACAATCAAAAATACCACAAAATCTACACACCGTCTCCAAAATACCCTACACCTAATTCACACCCAAATATACCAAATACTACGCCTAGAACGAAATCTACGCATCATCTCCAAAATACCATGCTTAACACATTTTCATACTTCCCAAACCA